CAGGGGAGCTATTAAAAAGAAGTTGAAATTTAAAAAGAAAACACTGGTATGAGTCACTAGAACTGGAAATCTCAGTTAAGATCCAGACAGACTGAGTGAGATGTTATGTGCTTTTCCTCATGATTCATACTGTGAGATCAGGTATATTAGAGAATTTCAGATGATACACTGTGCAAATATAAAACACTGATATACACACTATGAAAGGAACTTGAGATGGGAGAAGGTAGTTCCACTGGGATAGAAGCTCCCAGTACACAGGGACTTGTTCTTTCCTGCTGGCTGGATTGCTGATCCCTCATACGTGATAGAAACGTACTTCGGGCAGGTAGAATGGTGCATGCCTTCTCTGCAATGCACCTGTGAGGTAGGGAGGAATTTTTTCACGTGAGTTTTACAGACAGATTAACGAGCTTCTCAAAGGCAGGCCGTACAACTAACACCATAGAGACAGTGTCGATTCAAACCCAGGCTGGCTATTTTTTTTTTTAATGTGTATGAGTGTTTTGCCTACACATGTGCAAGTGCACCACATGTTTGCAGTGCTCACAGAAGTCAGAAGAGGCCATTGAATCCCCTGGAACTGGAATTAGGAATGATTGTTAGATGCCATGTGGGTGCTGGGTTCCCAACCTGGGTTCTCTGCAAGAGTAACTAGTGCTCTTAACCACTGAGCCATCTCTCTAGTGCCCAGAGGCTGCTTTTAATCACCAGTGACTACACCAGAGACATTTGCTGATTGAGAGGAATTGAAGAAAGAGGGTTCAAATGCATAGCATTTTTACATGAGAGGAAATTTAAAATGCAGCTTTGCTAATTTTCCTTTAACTAACCAAAACATTGCACAAATTATCTCATTAGCTGCCAAAAAAAATTAAAACTTTGTATATAAATATGCAGTTCTCAGAAGCTGGATTTTATTTTCCTGTAGCTAGACAGGTAGTTATAAAGTTTATGTAGAAGGATAAACACACAAGAATGTCTGTGAAAACTGGAAAAGGTGTTTTTGCTTTTAGTTTTATATATTTTTTTAAAACCTGGTACTAGGTACCACTGAGCTACATCCTCTGCCTTTTCTGTGCATTTTTTTTTTTTATGGACATACATTACATGTTGAGTATATGTTGCCTCTGCCGCCCCATTTCTCCTCCTCTCCCTTTTTTACCCTCCCCCTCCCATTAATTCTCTTTGTTCCCTGGACAGTTTTCCTTCTACTTTTATTTAATGGATTCATACCTGATTTTATGTGACTATATAAAATTCAGTAACCACAAATGTAGAAAACCTGTTACATTTGTCTTTCCGAGGCTGGATAATCTACTTAATAGGATTAAGTTGCATCCATTTTCATGCTAACAGCGTAGCTTCATTCTTCTTTATGGCTGAGAAAGAATTCCATTGTGTATATCTATCACATTGTCCTTATTATCCTATGTTGGACACCTAGGTTGGTCCCATAACTTTGCAGTTGTAAATGATGCTGCAGTAAACACTGATGTGTAGGTATGGCGCATGTGTAGGTATGTTGACTTGCAGTCCTTTGGGTAAATACACAGGAGTGGTATAGCTGAATCATATGGCAGAGCTACTTGAAAGCAGTGGACAGTAGAAGGTAGACATACTAGGTACTAAAATACACTGTAAGACTTTCATAACTAAATTAATACAGTATTCACTCTTGAACAGGCACAGAACAAAAAAATAAAACTAGAAACGGATCTAAATGCATGTGGAAATACATACTTTTAGTATAATGATTACAATAAAAAAGTTGGCCTTAGATTCTAGAGGCATAAAAAATTTATCTTAGCTAAATCTAAAAGCTACTTGCTCTAATGTTTCCCGCAGAATTCATTTGCATGGCTCCTCTGTACTCAGTAAGTAGTTTAAAGGAAAATTTATTACATATCATATCTAAATAATTAAGCACAACTAAGCAGAAAATAGGAAGAAATACTATGATAAGGTCAAGATATACTAGGGAAAGAGAAGTAAAAGTCAAAGACCTATAGGGAAGCTGAGAGTGGTGGACATGCCTTTAATACCAGCCCTTGGGAGGAAGAGGCAGGTGAATCTCTGTGAGATCGAGGCCAATCTGGTCTACATAGCAAGTTGTAGGCCAGCTGGGGCTACAGAGAGACTCTTATCTCAGAAAACAAAAACAAATAAACAAGATCTGAAGGAAAGTTAAGACTGACGTAGAAAGACCATTTTGCAAATTGCTCATTCCCTGCAGAGTGGCAAATTCTACTAGATACTAAGTAAATCCTGCTCTTTTCCTTCAGAAAACCCATCATATAAGTGGGAGCCGATGCTTGAACAGAGTTTAAGGAGGTAAATTTTTATACTAGCTGTGGTTATGGGATCAGGGGACACTTAAGAAGGGTTAATTAACTTTGGGTGGCTTTTCTTTACTATTTGTTTATTTTTACTGTACTATGGATAGAGGACAAGATCATTTACATGCCAGACAAATGCTATACCACTGATTAATCCCTGATTTTAATCATTAAGCCCTGATTTTAATGGAATGGGATTTGGGACCTCAGGAACAAAGAAGGATGCAAAAAGAGAAGAGATTCCAATCAACTATGATGGAGTAGTAGTGCTCACTGGGAGAAAAGGATGTGAGGAGAGGAGCAGATGCTGCCAACATAGAAATGGAATGTAGCCTAGCTGGAGTTCATGGAGTTTGTAGAGAGCAGAAGGATAGGAAACAGCAAAGGCAGATTAGAGCCAGATAGACCCATCAGGTATGCAGCATGCGATCTCTGAGTGTTTTTAAAGAGAGGACTGCATTCAGTGTAAGACAGGACAGTGGAAAAGAAATCAAGCCAATGAGGAGCTTCCTGCAGAACCTAAGGTAATAGCACTTAAAGTTCAACAATAGCGGAGAAAGCGGCAGCTAGAGATGATTTCAAGTTCAAGAGGTATTTATGGTAAAATCCACAAGATTCGTTGAAAGTAGAAAATGAGAGTAGACATGAGGCAGAAGGTGATGTCCCTCAAATGAGGAAGCCTGTGCCCTTCTCTCTGGTTAATTATCTGTCATCTGAATGCCACAGTTGTGAACCAGCAGGTCTCCTTGTCCCAGCTCCACTCCGCATGCTGGACATGGGGACTTCCTGTATATCCCTAATCTCAGTGGCTGTCTGTCACCATCATGAGAAGTTTCACATGAGAAGTTTCACAGAAGGTCCCTCATGTGGCCCCTGTCCTGCTTAAGCCCTATCATCAGCATACTAGCTAGCCCTAGGTTCAGGAACATGAGCCCACTTCACTACCTGTCTTAGTTTACATGTCCCTGTGTAAAATGTTCTCCAAAATGTTCTCCTTCGGGCCTGGATAGCTTTAGCTGTCAACTGGACACACTTGGGGAGAGGGAGCCTCAATTGGGGAATTGCCTCCACTGGATTGGCCTGTGGCCATGTCTGTGGGGCATCTTCTTAATTGTTGAGTCATGTGGGAAGGCCCAGCCCACTATGGGTACTACCACCCCTGGGCAGGTGGGCCTATGTTGTATAAGAAAGCAGAAAGCAGACTGAGCAGGGGCCAGGAGAGCAAGCCAGTAAGCAGCGTTCCTCCATGTCCTGTGCTCCAGCTCCTGCCTCCAGGCCTGGGCTCCTTGATGAACTGTGACGTGGGAGATGTAAGCCAAATAAACCTTTTCCTCCCCAGGTTAGTATTGGTCAGAGTGTTTTGTCACAGCAATGGAGAAACAAACTAGAACACCTTCCCACCATCATTCACACCTTTCCATTTTTCTCATGCCAAGTACACTGGTCAGCATAGTTACATACCTCCCAAGTGCTGGGACTAAAGGCATGTGCCACCATGCCTGGCAAAACTGATGGTTTTATATACACTAAGTTAAGGGCCAGTTAATGGCTGGATCCAGTTTCTTTCATCAGTTGGAGCCTAGGCTCTGCATCTGTGCTGTCTCCTACAGGCCTCCTTGGATCATAGTGTGACTGAAAACAACACCTTGGCAAGAGAGACTTTTTCTCCTGAATTTTATCTATGCATGAATAGCTGTCATGTTCCATATGCCTTCTCCAGAGACCCAAAATGACATCATGTTGACCTATGCCGATTCTCCAGCCCACTGCCTGTGACTAGCCCACCACTTGTGCCTAGATCACATGTGATCACCCCAATGGGCATGTTTCTTTGTTTATAAAACAAAGAAATGGAAACTCTAGGGATGGCTTTTATAAAATGGACATAATGTAGACTAAGGCCTTTTAATTAACCCCAACAAAACCATGTGCTCTTGTGTCTTGTGACCGGGGCACCTGATCTTGTTTTCTGGGAACCTCAATTTGGTACTTGAATGAATGAATGAATGAATGAATGAATGAATGAACAAACGAGCACATAAATAGAGTCGTAGTTCGTGTTGAGTTTTCAGCTGCTCCTGGAAACCTTTTCTGACTGTTGTTTGCTATAGGTTGCCCTTCTGTACCTCAGTGCCCATTGCCACTAGTGTTTGACTCTGACAATTGTTTATTGCCTCCCCACTCCCATCTTAAGAAGCAAGATCTATTTTCCCTATGTCTAGTCTCTAATATTGTGTCTGGTGCAGTTAGCCTTAGTAAATAATGAAGAGTAATCAGATGACATGAAAAATCAAAACAATAACCTTGTTTTAAAGGACATAATCTGTAATGGGAAAAACAGGTGGATTCTCCTATTGATGCTATATAATTCTCTTGTTGGTACCTTTGGCAATCTCTTGAATTCTCATCTTCACAAAACACAGAGCAATCTGGTGGGGGCTTTCCACACAAGATTCCTCTGTCTTACCATCATGACTGTACCCTCATGAACTATTTATTCATTGAGCCTGGAAGCCAAATACTCCATGAGTTCCAGAGGTGATGGCATGTGCCTTGCATATACCTACCACCTACCCAGCCTGCCTTCCCAGCCATTCAGGCAAGACTTACCTCCATGGACTGTTGATCAATCGGCAATCTTACATTTTGGATCTGTTATAGAATAAAGACCCCAAGATGGCTCGAGTGGCACTGGAATCTCTCTACAGATTACTCTGGGTTTACATGATTCGAATCAAATGTGAAAGCAACACAGCTACTCAGAGGTAAGGAGTTGACTTGTTCTGAGGGTGACCCCGTCGTTGAACCCATATTTGTAACCATGTTACTCAGGCACTGCAGAAGCTGTTTTTCTTTATTGGTGCCAGCCCTGACCCGCCTAAAACCTGCTTGTAGCTGACTGTTACTGTGAGATCTAAGGCCTCAGAACTTCACCACTGGCTTAGCAACCTTTGAACTCCATCCAGCCTCCACCAGTACTAACTAGTCCTTCCGGATCCCATTTGCCACTTTCAACAAAGGAAATAGCTGTCATTTTCTTACTGCCCTGAGTTTTTCAGAAAAAAATTTTCATAGAATAAGTATGCTAATGGAAAGGGATGAACTGGTATGTTTTCTCTTTTTTTAAATCCTCTCTGATACTGAAATAAGATGAACCGTGTGCCTTTTTCCTGACAGTACTAGAACTCAGCCAATCTTGCTTGTTTTCGCTGTTTTTCCTTTCTCTTCCAGCCGACTTATAACCATCATCACAACACTTTTCCCCAAAGGATCCCGTGGTGTAGTACCAAGGGATATGCCTCTGAACATCTTTGTGAAAATCATCCAGTTCATCGCCCAGGTAATGCAGACATTTCTGGCCATAAGTATGTTCTAATTGCTTTCAAGTTTCCCATCTCCTTCAGATGAAGTAATAAATGTGAAAAGGCCACAGTAATACTGCATACAGTTAGACATTTTAGAAAGCATTTGAGTGTTTTCCCACACCACTTATTCTTTTGCTTGAAAAAAAAATTGTCACATGAATATGTCAAGTGTCTTCAGCATGTAAGAAATAAATTGAGATAGAGGTTAAATGACCTATCCGAGGTCACAAACTACTAGTAAAATAGCCTGTAGTAGTTCCTGAGCATCAGCAAGGTCTAAGTTTGATCCCAGCACTGACAGAAAATAGAAAACTTCTATAAAAGAGACTCTTGACTCTCCCGCCCCACTTTTCCCAGTTCTCTGCCTTGTGTTCTACAAATAGGCAGGAATAAAAGGGTCTGGTGTTTGGCAGAAATTTAAATTTTGAAAAGAGCCAATATAGTGAAATCTGCAGAGTAAATAGTAATTTTCTAATTTTCCTCTGTGAAAAAGAATTTTGTAGGGAAATTAGCATTTATCAACTTTATTCTTTGCCAAAACTATTCTAAGCATTTTACACATGAATTAATTTACTTTAAAACCAAGTCCAGTAATGTTAAAATAAATGTTAGCTGTAGTTTCCTATTCAAACATAAGATTTTTTACTTTGGGGGATGGTTGGTAAAGTGTGGGGGACTGAACCCAGGGAGGACCTAGGACATGCCAGGTATGTACTCTACTACTGAATCATACCTCTAGTCTATCTTTTACTCTTTAAAATACTTCATCAGTAAATTCTTTGATGGAGCTTTGACCTCTGTGACTTACAGAGAACCAGAAAATCTTCTATTCCGGTTCAGCCTTTGTCATTAGTAGAACCTTTACCTCAAGCAAAAGAACATTTTTGTCTGTATCTTTATCTGTAAAATGAGGGTATAAATCCTTGCCCAGTATGTCTCAGAATACTGCATGACTGAAATGAAATAACAGGCATACAAATATTGTTGAAGTACTGTTGACATTAACAATAAAGATTTAAGGTTCACTATGCACAGACTAGTTAATATATAGGCATTCCTCTCTGTGTTGGATCCAGTGAAAGTTCTCTTTAATATGTGTACTTAGAGAAAGTGTATTGCTTGCTCTGCAGGTAGAAATTTAATATAACTTTTCTAAATGTAGTTATGAGCTGTTGAAAATGTGCTTTGACTCTTCTGGAATGTATTATATAAAATGAATATGTCATATTATCTTAAAAGCTACTAACCACGTTACTAGACTCTGCTTTCAATGTTCTCAAATAAGTAACCTTAGTATGCCTTATGTGTTAAATATTCTTCCTGGTTGGAATTAATTTTTATAATATAAGCCAGAGAATGTTTCAATGTTAGAGAGTAGGAAAAAATGATACCATTAAATAATATTTTGTTCAGCTGAGTTTCAAAACATTACCAGCATTTTTAGTGCAAGTAGGAGGAACCAAGGCTGTTTCTAGGCCCCCAGGTGTTGTGGGGTTTTTGTTGTTTTTTTAACCTCTAAAAAAATCTTTATTCAGAATTTCATACATGCATATAAGGTGTTTTGATCAAATCCATGCCCACTCCCTCCCCTCAAACACCTCCCGTATCTCCCCATCACTTTTTTCTGAAAACTTCGTGTTCTTTCTTTCTTTCTTTCTTTCTTTCTTTCTTTCTTTCTTTCTTTCTTTCTTTCTTTCTTTTTTTATGGGGCTTTTGGATACTCTAACATTCACCTTCTGAAGAGGTAACCCTAAAATCTTTTAAGGATTAGATAAGAGTTCCCAAATACTTTGGCATTTTTGGCCTTTGGAACAGAGTATGTTGGCTCAGAGGCCCAAGGACATTTTTACTTCGTTTTTGATACTCTGTGTTCTTGGAGCTAATTCTGTGTGTTATGTAATGGTGGCATCTCCACGCAGCTGCAGGAACAGAAGCAGATCCTCTGGCCATTATGTGCCTGATCTTCCCTCAGAGGCTCTGTGTGACCTATAAAACTGAGCAGCACCCCTATCCTTTTAGCAGCCACCTGTTTGTTGCATATGGTGAAACTGCCATTTGATATTGAACCTGTAATTCAATGTTTTTATTTTGTTTGTTTTCTTATGTTCCCTCCAGGAACGTCTAGATTTTGCAATGAAAGAAATCATTTTTGACTTTCTTTGTGTGGGAAAACCAGCCAAAGCTTTCAGTCTCAACCCAGAGGTATGAAGGATCCTTCTATGTGCTTCTGACAGAGCATGTATTCACAAAGCCATATCTTTGCTTTGAAACTTTGGGGGTTCAGATGAGGGATGATCCTCTCTGAAGTTTTCTATTTGTTTCTGTTCATGTCCAAATTCAGAGGATGGTTTTTCAGAAGTCAATTTGGGGGCGAATAGATTTGAGATAAAAAAATGTTGGTGTGCCACCATATTCCGTGCTTGTAAATTGGAGTGATTCTTACCTCAAAGGATCATCTGTTGCTACAAGTTAGATTGTTTTATTTTAGAAAAGTAAGTCCTTGCACTTGTAAGTATGTTAGTGCAGAATAATACGTTCAGTATTAGGAAGTGATGAAACAGACAAGAACAAATACTGGTAAGAGCAAAATTACTACCACATAATAAAAACCAAATAACCTGTGTGCAACATATGTTTCTGTGACAGTATTCCAGCTCAAAGGCCAGGCATCTTATGGAAATGAGTCCGTGGTGGGTGTTATATACAGTGTGGAATAGTTAGGGCTATGCAAATGAATAGCACATTGAGTCTTAAACTTTTAAAAACAGTCAGCTGACAGAATTATACCTGGCAAGCTGCCTTTTTTCAGCCCTTTCCCTGTGAGATTATAGAAGGAACACTGGACCAGGCACCAGGGAGCTGACTTTGCCACTCGCCACAGGCACAGCTTCTTTTTCTAGCTGTGTAACATTTACTCCTGACTCTGAGATTTTTTTGCTAGTAAAATGGACAAAATACTTCACAAAAGCAGATACTGGGTATGATACATTTCAAACTAAGAAGGGCATGAAGGACAGAGAGAGGAAAAGAAGGAAGAAAAGCGGGTAAAGAAACTCCATACAGTCAAATAGGTTTGAAATATTATTTTATCCTCACTGTGATAGTCTGACTCATTCATCTTGTCATTAAGGAAGGAGGTCCAGAGCACAGAGGCTCAGCATAGCTTGTTAGTTGCCCCAGAATCCCCTGCTCCTCTCCACCACACCCTGCATTCTCTTCTTGACAGCTAGGTTGCCACATGTCTGTGAGCAGAACAAGAGGCCAAAATATGGGAGTTTCTATCTAATGACTATTGACCTAACAATCCTCTGGAATGGCTGCTGCCAGGGTCAGTAGCTCAGTGGGAGAGGGTCAAATCCAGGGGCCTGATGGAGGCCCAGAGATGAACAGTAATAGACTTCTCTTGCTGGCAAAGTTCTCAACATAGTTTTTATTTCTCAGTAGTCATAAGCCTACTATTTTAACAATTTTCAGAATTACTGAGCTACTTGTCTAAAGAGAACATCTAAAAAGTTATTACCATTCCAGATGTGGTAATGCTCACCTGTAATCCCAGTACTCAAGACTGAGGCAGAAGGATCATGAGTTTGAGTCTAGACTGGCCTGCATAGCAAAACCCTGACTCAAACAAACTGCCGTCATTATCACCATGTATAAAATTTATCTTGGATCTATCTACAAACACTTCATTCAGTCAAGGGTGCAGTAGCTAGCCTGTCTGTGCAGAGCAGTTAGAATTGTGTTAGATAGAAGAAAATACTTAAGTACTATCTTCTAAAATACTTAAGTATTATCTTCCACGTCCCTTTTTTATTTTTTATTACATTTTATTTACTTACTGTGATTTATTTATTATGTATGTCTGTACATGAGCGTGTCATGGTATGAGTACGGAGGTCAGGGGACAGTTTTCAGGAATCTGTTCTCTCCTTCTACCATGTGGGTCCCATAGATCAAACTTAAGTTGTCATGCTTGGCATCAAGCATCTTTACCCACTGAATCACTACACAGGCCCTCTTTCATGTCTCTTCATCTTGTAGGGTCATGGAAGAATTTTTTTATTAGTAGTTGGCTGCTATAAGCCCAACAGAATATACATTCCCCCCCCCCAAATACCGATATCCATAGTCTATGAAGCATAAGTTACATGTTGGATGAAATATGTGATGAAACTGTTGGGCACAGTTTCTCAGAAAACAAAACCAGATAGGATTTTTGAGGGGGAATTGTTTGTTGTTTGTTTGTTTTATTCCACGGGGTCTCAAAAGATCTCTGGCCTTGAACTCACTATGTAGATAAGGATGACCTTGAACTTTTGATCCTCCTGCTCCAGTATCTCAAGTGCTAGGATTAGAGGCATGTGCCACCATGCCGGCCTCCAGATGGGCTCTTGAATAATTTTCTGGAAGCAGCTTATGTAACAAGGCTCAGAGATCTAAAGGGTTGTTTTAATACAAAGTGTATTTAGCACAACTCAAAAGTTAGATAATTTGCAAGTAGTTGTCTTATTTGGTTTGGGCCTATTATACTTGCTGTATATACTTTCATCATTGTGAAAGCAGGCCTATCTGTGAGAAACACTTCTAGGTCATCATTTCCACTCATTTTTTCTTGATATAGAAATAATGGAAGTGGAGTACCTACTCAGTGCTGGAGAAAAGAAAACAATAATAGAGGCTGATAAACTGGAAATGAAAACATAAGTGGAGAGAAATACCCTTGATCCTGTTGATAAGCACTCAATTATCCACAAATTGTTCCCAATAATAACCTGATTTATAGTCACTATAGAGGTCAGCAAACTAATTTTTAAATCTTATATGAAAAATCAAAAGAACTACAACAAATGATATTAAGTTCAAAATAGGAAAAATAAAGAAAACTAATAAAAATAATAATAAAAGAAAAAAAAAACAAAAAAAAACCCCGACCTCCCTCTGCTTCCCTGGGCCTGCACAACCCACAGGCCTCTCTCAAGGGTAAGCCGTCCGATTGCGGCAAACTAATTTTTAAATCTTATATGAAAAATCAAAAGAACTACAACAAATGATATTAAGTTCAAAATAGGAAAAATAAAGAAAACTAATAAAAATAATAATAAAAGAAAAAAAAAACAAAAAAAAACCCCGACCTCCCTCTGCTTCCCTGGGCCTGCACAACCCACAGGCCTCTCTCCAGGGTAAGCCGTCCGATTGCACCCTCTGGGCCTTGACTCCCCCATCCTCACTCACCCTCCCATCTCTCCCCCCTGTCTCTCCTCCTAGCCTGGGACATGTCCAGTTCCTTGTCTTGGCGCCCCAGACACCAGGGGAACAACAACTGCTTTGTGATCCTTTGCATCCAGACCAACCCAGTTCCTTCTGGGGTCCCTGGGAGCCCTCTGGGCCTGGCCCCCGCCTTCACCTCCCTCTGCTTCTCTGGGCTGCACAAACCCACCAGGCTCTTTCCTGGATGCAAGGCTGACCTTTCCATTTCCTGATCCTTTGCATCTAGACCAACCTAGTTCCTCAGTGCTGTCCCTGGGAGCCCTTGGGGCCTCTTCCCATCCCCATCTCCCTTTGCATCTCTGGGTGGCATGGCCACCAGCTGCCCTAGACCAGCATCTTTCCTGGGCCCTGCTCCCAGGCCAGTCCAACCCCCAAATTCCTGAGGCCAAAATCTTTCCTGGAGGGATCCAGACCTTAGGAGAAACCTTGAGAGCATCTGAAGGGCCTCATCTGACTTGGGCCTCTGTGGAAATTCCTAAAGACAAAAGCAGTCTGGCCACTCCAATATAAAATCAAAAGAGACCGAAAGCTTAGAGGAACCAGCTTTTCATGCCCCAGAAGTAAACCACAAAGACACATAAAGTTAACAAAAAGAAGCAGACCTGAACTTGAAGCCTTGAGTCTCACACAAGAATCAGAAACTACAAAAGAAATTCACATGTCAAAATCACAGAGAAAAAATAATAACATGAAAAACCAAAATAACATATCCCCACCAAATACCAATAATCCTCTAAAGGAGTACAATGAGAACCCCCTAAAGATAATGCAGGACATGGAACTCAAAAGAACAATTATAAACATGATAAAAGAATTCAGTGAATTTAAAGAACACACAAAT